GACGAGGTGATTGATTGGTCCATGGAATGACTGATTGGTTGGATGAGTGAGTGAGTGAGTGAGTGGGAGTGTCAGTTTTCTGTTTGTAGTGGTATGCAGGCTACTTGACTTGTGTGCAGGCGATGGTGGTAATGAATGTGTGGGGACTGTGAGAGACTTGACTGAAGATGGATGATGATGGTGGGGATAATTCAACCTTCATTATCGTCTGGAGATGAGACATGTTACAGTCTGTTGTGTGACCACTGTTGTTAGTGAACTGTGATTGGTCTTGTTAATTTGAGTGTTGGTGTGTGTTGTGCATTTCGGCAAGTTGGACGGATGAACTATGATGCGATGTTCTGCGTTTCCGCTTCCGCTTATCAATGTGGTTATGTGGTAGTTATTGTAAGTGAATGGTTGTATGTTTATTTTGCGACAGGGGTAGGTGTATGTGATTTGTGTGTTGTGTGATGAAACATGAGAATGGAGGGGATGTGTGAATACTTTACTAAGATAGTTTCCCGCTGGTCGTCATATGTTTCCTGGTGTGTTTGTTATCCGTGGGTGAGAGTGTTAGTGTATGAAGTCTGAGAAATGTCATATGTTTGAGTGCCTACAGCCAACAGAGTGGCAACATGCCTCTCCTCTTCTCCGTCTTGTCTCCTGTATGTGCATTGATCATGGTTGTGGTTGACTGTTGACTTGATGGACAGATAGATGTGCACAGTCGTCAACTTGTTGTAACGTTGTGAATGAGGAGGAGTGGTTTGTGTAGAAGTTTCGTGAATTGTGTTTATGGGATGTGGTTGCGTTGAATGATTTTGTCTACTGGAATTGTCCGGTGATACGTGGTTCAATCGAGTTTGGGAAGAGACTGAGGCACAGGTTGTAATTTTGTGTGTGGTAGCTGAGTGACTGACTGATACTTGTGTGTGACAATGGATACGTTGACGGGTTTCTTGTGAATCGATTGCTTTCCCGATGGTGTTCACATGACCATAGTATGTGTACAATGTGCTTTCTGTTGGATGTTGTATGGCGGACTGATTGATTGATTGAGTGAGTGAGTGAGTGAGTGTAGGAATTGTGTTTTTGAGTCGACGGGTTGGTTGTGTAGCTCGACAGAGTTGGGGTGTGTGAATCACCGAAGTCAGGTAGACTTGTGGAGATTTTTGGAATGTGTGCTTCCGACCAGTTGAAACTGTTCGGCAATAACGTTCCTACATGAAATTCACAGTGTATTTGCATACGTGTGATATATTTAGTTTTGTTTGTGTTGTAGCGTGTGTGTGTGTGTTTGTCTGGTAGATGGAGGTGACGTTGTAGTGTGATTGGAGAAAGGCGAAGGCCATTGAGACCAGCTCGATGATGCGTAGGATACTGTTGTGTAGCAAGATGAATTGAGAAACTTTTCGCAACAGTTCGTATTTCGTGCGGTTGAGTGTTTGTGTCTGTTGTTGTGGTGTAGTGGGTATGAGATTTTGTTGTGGATGTGGTCTGAGAGCATAGTCTGCAATGTGTGCAACTGTGCATCATAGTGTCCACCATGTTTGCTGCCCGAGGCTGTTCATCTCTACCTGTGTGCGTGTGTGTAAGTTCTGTGCTTGTGTCTTCCAATAACAATGCTATACAGTCTGTTGATGAGATGAATATGAGTTAAAAATCCAGTGCTCTCCGTATACATCCTGAGACAGGTGAATGTGAAGGTGGAGGGGGACTAGGACTGCCTGGCTGTGAAGGGAAGGTGTTCCTCACCATGTGTCATCAATGCAGTGTTTCTGTTCAATTCGATTTTTCTTTGTTCCCACGCCTCACCCTTGCGCATGGTGTCTTCTATATGTCTTCTCGATTTTTGCGCAGTCCGTCTCCTCTTCTTTCTGAGTGTTTGTTGATTGATTGTTTCTTGGTGGGTTCGTTCCCGGAGGTCTTTGTTTTTCATTCTTTCTAGCCATCTTGTTTTGAGTAGCCAGCGTAAGCAGTTTTTGCGGAGTATCTGTAGTTTATTGGAAATGCCTTTCGTAACGCGCTGTGTCTCTGAACCATGCAGAGGCACTGACTCGACGTTGGTGTTTAATGTCCGGTTCTTGTTCCGCATGCTGTGTGCAGAAGTTCTCTACACTGGTTTCAGGCTAATGTACGCCTGTCTTGCTTTTCCGATTCTGACTTTGACATTCTCGTCTGTCCCGTCACCTGTAGTTGAAACAGTGCTGCCTAGATAGGTGAAGGAGGCTACTTCCTCTACGTTTCTCCCGTTGGTGGTGATTGGAGTTTGTTGTTGGTGGTGGTGCGGTATCTTCATCACTTCTGTCTTCTCTATATTCACCTGAAGTCCCGTCTTCGCTGCCCTGCCTCTTCTGTCAACTTGTTAGTTTTCGCCTGTAGATCTCCAAGTTTGTGTGACATCAGACACAAGTCATCGGTGAAATCCAAGTCTTCTAGGTTCTTTTCCGCAGTCCAGTCAGCGTATCCCCCTCTTCTCGTTCCTCACTGTTTGCTGCATGATCCAGTTGACCACAATCAAGAATATCATGGGTGATAGCAGGCAACCTTGTTTCACTCCTGTCTTCACTTCAAAAGCACCACTGAGCTTCCCATTGTATTGTGGATTACCTGAAATGTGGCGTCTTCATATAGTTGTTGAATGAGACGGATAAAGGTTTGCGGTACTCTGTAGTAATGAAGCAGTTTCAAAATTACCTCTTGGTCGACGCTGTCAAAGGCCTTCTCAAAGTCGATAAAGTTGAGGTAGAGAGCTGATTGCCATTCTATACTCTGTTCTATGATGATGCGTAGTGTAGCGTTGCAATTTGGTCTGCACATGATTTGTACTTCCTGAATCCAGCCAGCCAGCCTGTTCCGGTCGTAGTTTCGAATCCAGTGCATCCTTTAGCCTCTCCAGGATGATGCGGCTTAATATTTTGCTTGTTCTGGGTGGACAGGAGAGTGATTCCGTGCCAGTTCTTGCAAACACTGAGGTCTCCCTTCTTCTGGAGTTTGACAAGGTAACCCTTCTTCCAATCAGTGGCCAGGTACCTTCCTTTCCTCCCACACCTTCTGCAATAGTGGTGTGGTGTGATCATGTCCACTGTTGTCTCTGTGTCTGTTCTCAGTGCTTCTGGCGGTATTCCATCTGGTCCTGCTGCTTTCCCGCATTTCAGTAGCTTTATGGCGTTCAGGACTTCCATTTTCGTTGGGGGATTAATGTTCACTTGTAATTCAGCGGCTGCAGGTGGTATTTCTGGACGAAGTGCAGGTGGTGGTCGATTCAAGAGCTTCTTGAAGTGGTCGGCCCATCGTTTCCTTTGTTTCTCTTCTTTCATAATTAAATTTCCGTCATCATCTTTTATTGGTTTCATCTGCGTTGATCTCTTCCCAGATAGCAACCTGCTTATTTCATACGATGTTGTCAGGTTTCTCTTACATGCAGCCTGTTCTGCTTCACTTGCCAGTGTTTCGTAGAAGTGTCTTTTATCTTTCCGTGCACTCTTCTTCACTTCTTTGTCCAGTGTTTTATACATTGTACTCAGTTCCTCTTGTCGTTGAGCATCATTGCACTGGTTTATCTTCTGCTTCACCATCCTCCTCTCCCTCCTCTATCAGCTTCCATGTATCCATCGAGATCCATTCCTTGTCTTCTTTCTTCTTCCTTCCTAATACGGCTGTGCAAGTTTCTTTCCACGTCTCTTTTAAAGATTCATTCACACAGGTTTCTTCAGGGATGTTCCTCGATATCTCCCATTTTGTCCTAATGGCTGACGTGAAGATGTCCTTTATAGTTTCGTCCTTCAGTTTCCGAGTGTTGTACTTGAACTGCGGTCTATCACTAACTTCTTCCAAGGCTTTCAACTTGATTTGGAAGGTTCCTTGAACTAGGTAGGGAGTGGTGTGAACCTGCATCTGCTCCTCTTCTTGACCTTGTGTTCAGTAGACTGCGTCTCCACTTTCTTCACATTGAGATGAAGTCGATCTGAGTTTTAGTGTGTCCTGGTGTCTGGTGAAATCCATGTCGCTTTGTGAATATCCTTGTGTTTGTACACACTACCTCAAATCACCAAATCATTGAAGGTGCAGACGTCTGCAAACAGTTCACCATTCTCATTCATTTCACCGAGCGCTTCTCGACCGGTGATGAGTTCTCTTCCTGTGTTGTCCCCTCTCAGTTTGGCATTCATGTCACCCCACCCATTAGAATTTTGATATCGCTAACTGAGGTTTTGTCCAGTGTTGATTGCAGTTGTCTGTAGAATTCCTCCTTTTTCTCTTGCTCTGCATTATTTTTAGGTGCATAGCGTTGTATGATTGTGACCTTCCTTCCTTTTGAGTTGAACCTTGCTGTCATGAACCTGATCCTGCAGGAGGAGATTGGTTCTCACTGCATGAGAGCCTTCGATGCTGTTGGGGATATCATGATAGCCACTCCAAAACTCAGTGTGCTCTTAGTTGTCATCTGGGTGACAATATCGGAGTGGATTATTGATTCTCCAGTTGACAGTTTGGAGAGTCCACTCCCATTCCATCTGCTTTCGCAAATTCCAAGCACTTCAATGTGATACCTCTTCATCTCGTTTGCAATCTGAGCTGCCTTGCTGGGTTCAAACATGGTGCGGACATTCCATGTCCCCACGTTTACTTTCGTTTTAATCGAGAGAAGAGAGGACACATCGGCCGATTGGCTTCCCGAAGACTTTCACCAACTGGGGTCATTTCGCCTCTCCGATTCCAGCGAGGAATAATTTTGTTATTATTTTTTATATTTCGTTTGTACTTTGAAGTTTGTTTAGAGGTTAGATTTGTTTTACTGGGTAGGGTTGCTAGCCCTATGCCCAACCTTCCCTGTATACCCGGGTTTAGGACCGGCTAGTAACTAGTGTGCTAGTTAACCAGGCAAGATTATATATATATATATATATATATATATATATATATATATATATATATATATATATATATATAGTTTATTGCGGGTCGGTGAAATTATATCGTTTAATGTGTAAGTGAATTGGTTTTCAATTTAAATTAATATGGAAGCAATTTTTATTAACCCCTTCTTTTTAACACTCGGATTTTGTAGTTAGGACCTTTCTTTTACAAGGGCAGGATAGGAAATAATGACATATTAAGACTGAAATTAGATGATTATATGTTTAGTCCCTTTTGAACGTAAACATCTACAAATATCACTGGAATAAAAGTATGTTGATTGATATTTACAATCTTGTATAGGATGGAAACATTCCTATAAAACATACATCATAGTTAATATGCAAAGTAGTGAAAATAATGAAAACGTCTGTATCATTATTACTACCAGTAACTGACTACTTCAACCATAATGACCACCATTATTTCTGCCAGTGAAGTAAAAGAGGCAGCAATAAAGGTATGGAAAGATGTTTCTCTTTCAGCTTTTTTTTAAATTTACATCATCACATTGTGATGTATTATCACAAAGAAGAAGGAAAGCAATAGAATTATAATTTACACAATAAAATAAAAAGGTGATTATTATTTCTTCAATCTTTTGAAGATTCATTAGAATTTTCGAGTATAAATTATTTCACTAGCGAATTATCACATTTCGTTACTTGAAGCGTGTGTAATCTTATTCACAAATAAAGATGCATACTCAATTTTTTACACCATATTTACACGACTAATGTTTATGTTCACTGTGTTTGAGATTAACATTGTTGATTTTCTCCCCTACCAGTCTCCTTCTATCCTCTGCATCTTTAAGTGAATCATCCGTAGCTGTCACAGCTAACTCAGTTTCTGGGATAGGGGCAATATAGGTATTACTAACAGACTTTTTCACTGACATAGTGGCTATTGGTTCACTTGTGACCGAGGGTGCATTCATGACAGAGAATGGAGCTGTCGCTGTAACTTTTGTATGATCATTAGAAGTAGGAATAGAATCTTTGAGAGATCTGTTTTCAGCTGTGGTTGTACAGATCAAAGCATCGGTATTGCCATTGCGTACAGTGGTTGGAATATCACTGACAATATTTCCAAATGTTGGTATGCTAACAGATGTATTGGTGGTAATGTTTGTGGTTGTATTTGTCGTAGTATGAGCAGTTGTAGAAACATTAGGAGGTGGTTGCATAGTATGAGTAACTGATAGGATGGAGGATATTTTTCCAGCTCCAGGAGGTCTCGGCAATCTTCTACGAAGCCATTCATGTCTGAAAGCCTCACGAGGGGTCAGTCGCTCTTCTGGTATCCACTGCAGGCATCTTCTGAGAAAATCAAGGAAGACAGCATCTTCACAACCATTTAGCGCTGCAACTAGTGACCGACTGCCTGGTGTACCTCTAATCTTTCCTCTTTTACTCTTACTAGGACGCAAAACAACACGACCATCCGCATCTGTAACCATGCAGTATCTTGGATATCCATGAGTCGTCGAAAAAAAGTGTCTAGCTCTTCTACATTGGTCCAGTAGCTTTTGCGGCGGCATCCCAAGCAGCTCTATTATGCAAGCGAGTTGGTCCGCTTCATCTTCCCCTGGAAATATTGGAGCACCTAAAAGAAAGAGTAAAAAAAATGAATTGTAGCACTTGGATCCCACAACTTCTGATTTTCAAAGAACTTACACTATTTTTGAAATCATATTTTCATCTTTGTATACGTCTGACTGACTGCTCGCTAGTTACTGGTAGTCTAAATGCAGGACTGTCATTTTGCTGGTTTGAGACCGAACTTACTAGTGGTTTATCCGGACTGATTTAACCTAGAAAAATGAATCTTCTGACTCACCTCAGGACTGACCTGCTCTTTCAGTAGACTATTGATCTTTAGAATTAGGGATAAAATTTCAAGACTCTGAATAGCTGGTCAAAAATGGAACACATAAGTATAACCCAGTTGTGAAATATCAACTTATTTTCATTTTGAAACCAAAATTCTTAAACTACAAATTGTAATCCCCTCGACACAGAATATTTGGTTAAGAAAGCAAACCTATCAAAATGTAAAACCTGATGGATTTGTTTTCCAAAGGAGATCATGGTAGAATCTTGCAACTAAATTGTATCTACTTATTTTATTCTCACCATAGTTTGAGAATTTCGAAAACAGTCGCAGTAACTGCATATTTTTATCAGTTTATAAAAGTCATAATAGTATCCTGAGCAGAGACTATTAACGGCTTTCTAAAATTTTTATCATACTTCGTAGGCTGTGCAAAACTTATACGAAAGTGACACACGAAGAGCGGGTTATCTTCATGAAGTTTTTTATTATTTTGTATGGCTCATCGGTTGATGCCAATGTTGTACCAAGTTTATATCTTATCTATTAACCCATATATAACTACTGCTGAACATTAAAATTAGTATGAGTATAAAGTAAGCAGTTGTGAATACATATTTGTCACTCTGACTGTTAGTAACGTTAAAGATTAACTACAAGATGGGTTTTCAAGGAAGAAATTCATTGCGCTAAGTTGTTTTCCTGCATAATCTTTCAGCATTCGGTGCAGTGCAGTTTGTAATAATGAACCGTAGGAACGATGTTCAGCTATTTTACATTAGCTTTTGGTTATTTAACTTTTTAATCAGCGATTAATTAACAACAATGTTGGTCATGAATAGATGAAGTCTTTATCAGCAGTCAAAGAAACCTTTGTTATTCTAGCTTTTTCCAGTCTTTGAAGTGGGAAACCCATTCTCATCATGCGACGTGTATTTTGTAGATGACTAAGAAAAAGACAACTGCACCTCTGTCTCCTTTAAATATTCAGCCCATATGTGTGGTACAAGAATTAAGTAATCATAAAAATTATCATAGTTTTAATGACCCAGTGTAAGAGGAGTACTAGAGTGATACAAAACTTAATCTCAAAAGAAACCACAGTACTGAAAAGTGCCCATTGTATTAAGCTTATGCCGTAGCAGATAGTTACTATAATACCGAAACAATCGCGTTCATTCGCTAAGTGAAAGGATTCAGTACTAAAAGTGTTTTAGAGTTTCGTTTCTTGGTAGCCAGTCACAGTGAGATCGTTATCTGAATTGTAGTAAGAGCAGAAGTCCTTTAAGTTTCGCAACTTTTTATGGTGAGGAAAGTTATATGAATGATTTCTGCCCCTAAACAAATTTTTCTTCTACTTTACATTTTACTTCAACTGGTGCCACGAAAGATTAAGCGGTTTAAGCCATGAGATACTATATTTTGCCCTCTTACTTAATGTACTTCAGGGGGGGGGGGATGGTTGAAAGTTGCTCGGTTAACAGAAAAAGTCTCCTTAAGGCAAACATTTTAAGAATGTAGCGAGTGAGTGAATTGAGACAGTTGTAGCAAGAAATCTGACATCACTATGCTTTATATGTTTGATTTCGGGCTGTATCCTCAGCCAAACTATTTTGATAGAAGTTTTTAATGGTGATCTCTTTCTTTAGATTTAGTGGTCTTGGTGGAGTGCTATTTTGCACCTTTCTAACAAAACATAAATGTTCTGTAATGCTGTACCCCTCACCCCTTCTTTGTCCTTTTATCCTTTCGGTCAGAAGTGACACAGGTAAGTGGTGTCTACGAAAAAGCGTCTGTTTCCGAAGCTCAGATAGAGTATTTATCCCTCAAGTAAATCATAGGGACAGTTTACGAATTAAGACCTGTTGCTCCTTATCAGTTATATTTTATTATTTCAGAGTTATATTCTTTGTGAACCTTCTGTTTTCATGCAACACATCTCGTTTAATTCACCGTACATCTATCAGTCAGTTGTTAGCATGTTCGAACAAATTTACAGCATTCCTTAAACTACAAATAAACGCAAGTAGTTTTTTGTTGCGCATGTCTAGGGAGTTAATCAGCAAAGATAGCTACTTATCTGCACTCTAGGTTATTAAAAATAATTTTACCTGCACATCATCCTGGGAAAAATCGTTCCCTCTGATAAGTCTTTAAGCGTAATTTCACTAGCGTAGTACTTTGAAAAAGTTTTTCTAGCGCCTTTGGTAGGATATCGATAATGGGTGTTTTTTTACATTTCTGAGATTAACAGAAAACTACTAATCTTCTTGGATAGATCACATATTTGGCAGGTGAAAAACATTTCAAACACCTTAACATTTATGCCAAACGTGTCCAGAAGACTGCATTTTATCACTGTTCTTGCATAACAGGATTACATCACTTAAATACTTTATGGGCTGTTAGGTGCCCTAATTTGAAAGAAAAAGGTGGTAGAAGAAGATTGATATGGGAGTAAACAAAGACGTATTGGTATCAAAGTAAAACTTGGGCACTTTGGTGGACTGTCATTCCACTTTAGTCTGTTTATTAGAAATATCACACCGTGAAACATTAGCATTTACTAGATAACGTTTCGGACACAATTTATTGTCCATTTTCATATCACGAAACTCCACAACTTCCAGATAGACAGGTTAACTAGTTCATAAGTTACTAGCCGGTCCTAAGCCCGGATAAAGAAGGAAGGATGGGCATAGGATTAGCATCCCTACCCCGTAAAAGCAATACAATCGCCAAAAAACTCCAGAGCACAAAGAAAATATAAAAAACGAAAATAAACTTATTCCTCGCTGGAGTCGGGGAGACGAAATGACGCCAAATGGTTGAAGCCTTCGGGAAGCCAATTGGTCGATGTGTCTTCTCTCCTCTCGATGAAAGTGAAAGTAAGAATGGGGATACAGAATGTCCGGACCATGTATGAATCTAGCAAGGCTGCCCAGATTGCAAAACAGATGAGAAGGTATAGCATTGAAGTGCTTGGAATTTGTGCAAGCAGGTGAAATGGAAGTGGACTCTCTAAACTGTTAACTGTAGAGTAGAATCAATAATCTACTCCGATATTGTCACCCAGACGACAACCAAGAGCACACTGAGTTATGGAGTGGCTATCATGATGTCCCCAACAGCATCAAAGGCCTTCATACAATGGGAACCAATCTCCTCCTGCAAGATCAGGTTCATGACAGCAAGATTCAAATCAAAAGGAAGGAAAGTCAAAATCATACAGTTCTACACTATGCACCTACAAATAATGCAGATGAAGAGAAGGAGGAGGAACTCTACAGACAACTGCAATCAACAATGGACAAGACTCCACCCCAGTTGGCGACATCATACTCATTCTAATGGGTGGGGTGACATGAGTGCCAAACTGGGAGCAGACAACACAGGAAGAGAACTCATCACCGGTCGAGAAGCGCTCGGTGAAATGAATGAGAATGGTGAACTGTTTGCAGATTTCTGCGCATTCAATGATTTGGTGATTGGAGGCACTGTGTTCAAGCACAAGGATATCCATAAAGCGACATGGATTTCACCAGACACCAGGATACACTAAAACTCAGATCGACTTCATCCCAATGTGAAGAAAGTGGAGACGCAGCCTACTTGACACAGGATCAAGAAGGGGAGCAGATGTAGGTTCAGACCACTCCCTACTTAGTTCAAAGAACCTTCCAAATCAAGTTGAAAGCCTTGAAAGAAGTTGGTGATAGACCACAGTTCAAGTTGAACACCCAGAAACTGAAGGATGAAACTTCAAAGGACCTCTTCACACCAGCCAGCCATCAGGAAGAGATGGTAGACATTAAGCAGCACCCTTGAAGAAATCTACATGGAAGAACACTGGAACTGTGAAAGAGACGTGGAAAGAAACATGCATAACCATGTGAGGAAGGAAGAAGAAAGAGGACGATGAATGGATCTTCACGGACACATGAAAGCTGATAGAGGAGTGAGAGGAAGATGGTGAAGCAGATGAACCAGTGCAAGGATGAACAACAAGAAGAACTGAATACAACCAACAAAACACTGGACAAAGACAAAAGACACTGGAAAGTTAAGCAGAATAGGCTGCAGGTAGGAGAAACCTGACAATACTATATCAAATAATCAGGTTACTATCTGAGAGGGAAGAGATCAACACAGATGAAACCAATAAAAGATGGTGGGGGAAAGCCACTCACCAAAGAGCAGAAACAAAGGAAACAATGGGCTGACCACTTCAAAAAACTCTCGAATCAACCACCACCTGCAACTCGACCAGAAATACCACTAGCAGCCCAGTCACAGAACTGTCAGTGAACGCCAGTCCTCCGACAATAGCAGAAGTGAAGTCCGGAATGCCATAGAGTTGTTGAGATCCGGGAAAGCAGGAGCACCAGATGGAATTCCCCCAGAACCACTGAAAACAGACGCAGAGACAACATCGGACATGCTCACGCCACACCACTACTGCAGAAGGTTTGCAAGGAAGGAAGAAAAGTTACCTGGCAGTTGATTGGAAGAAGGGCTACCTTGTCAAGCTCCCAAAGAAGGGAGACCCAAGTCTTCGCAAGAACTGACATGTATTCATGCTCCTGTTCACACCAAGCAAAATGTTATGCTGCATCATCCTGGAGAGACCAAAGGATGCGCTGGATTCAAAATTATGATGGAAACATGCCAAGTGATCCACAATGGAAAGCTCAGTGACGCCTTTTTAGTTTGGACAGGAGTAAGACAAGGTTGCCGCCTACTATCACCCATGATCTTCGTGATTGTGGTCG